ATAAGTTTAGTAACAGACTTCCAATTGTTTTTTCTTGTGAGTTGGGGAGAATGGAGTTTTGGTTGCACACTTATTAGTACCATTTTCGAAATTAATTAAGTCAATCACTATATCATAGTTAAATGTCATTTAAATTTATAATTATAATATAATGTTAAATAAATATAATATATTATTAAATAAATAAATACATATAATATAATAAAAAAATTAATTATTAGAAGTACATTTTTTCTATTGATTCTTATTTTTCTCCGTTGACTAGTTTATGGTCTTTGTCAAGGTCTTTGTCATGGCGTGCTGACTGGTTTATGGACTTTTTCATGGAGTGCTAGCATGCTGATTGGTTTATGGACTTTTTCATGTGGTGCTAGCATGCTGATTGGTTTATGGACTTTGTAACGGTGTGCATACTGACTTTTTTTAAAAAAATAATTACATGAGTACAATGACAGAACACAACACAATTCCAAAACCAACACAATTCCAAAACTGGTCGGTGTGCGTACCGACTAGTTTAAGGAGTTTGTCATGGAATGCTGACTGAGCTATCATTGCGGTCCAGAAGGTGCAATTTAGCCCTTTTATTTACAATGTTGTGGCATGTCAGCCCCTTACTTGAAACAACTGCAAATCAGTCCCTAAACTACACAAATTTGCAAATCAACCCCTTTAGTAAAGATGATGTCATTTTCTCATTAAACTGTCCATTGCCCCATTAAGATGGGATGATTAGGGACTGATTAGGTGATGACTAAGTAATGACTTGGACAAAAAAGGCATCATGAAAATTCCTAAAGTGACAAGTCATTGTTTAGTCATTACCTAATTAGTGCTTAATCATCCCATTTTAATGGAGCAATGGACAGTTTAATAAGAAAATAATGTCATATTTACTGAAAGCGCTGATTTGTAGATTTCATGTAGTTGAGGGGCTAATTTACACTAGTCTATGATTGTAGTTGTAAGTTTTTTAATCTTTTAATATCTTAAAAATATATAAAAAATATTTTTATTTATTTTAAAAATATATCTTAAGAACATATAAAATATATTTATTTTAATTAACATTTTATTTATTTTTAAAATAATAAAAAATATAAAATCTAAAAAATAAAATACTAAAAAGTGCTGTTAAATGAAGCCTATAACATGCTGTGTGGACAACCTTTTGACATGTCTACCCTTCTACTTTGATTGTAGTGGTATGTCAGCCCCACTACTTAAATGTGGTCCACATTGATCCCTCTACTTAGCAGAACTCACAAATGAACC